TGTTAGAACTTCATATCTCTTATCTTTCTTAGCCAAAGACTGTAAATTCTACTCAAAAGGTAAAGTCTAAATAAATATGACATCTGTGTGGCTATGATGCTAATCATTGTTGTTTTTAAATTTTAAATGTACTTAAGTTCTCCATGTAATGTTTTCTAAAATAAAAAAATGAATAGTGCCACTTTAAGGATTGAATATTTGTCACTCATTAAGTTTATCTGCAATAAAAAACATATTGTACCTATTAAAAATTCATTTACTCTAAAGGTAAAATTGAAAGGTGGATTTATTCTATTGATAAGAAACATATTTAGTTAATTTACACTAAAACATGAGTTTTAAATATATATTTGAGAGATAAAGAGGACCTAATAGTACTAATTAATGCTATCCAACATAATTATCCTAAAATACTGTATGCAATGAAAATTGTATTGTCAATTGCTAAAAATTTAAATATATTCTAATAATAACTGGTCTAAGTATTTTGTTACCTACGTTTGGATCCATCTCTAAGGCATCTACAGTCAGATTCCCAGAAAATCTATCTACTACCTCATCCTGATGGTTAATTCTTGCTAGTTATTGTGGCACATGATTGCATCTCCCACTGTCATGGATCACTGGGCAGACCTAATATTAAAAGGTGATTTGTCTTCCTCTATTGCCACTGATTAGAGAGCAAGAGCCAGAAACTCCTTACTTATAACTAAGTACCATGTCAGCAGGAAGCAGCTAATGATTCAATACTACTCCCCCTTTCCCCAAAAGACTTCAAGCTCTCTACTCCTTGAGTATAGAATATAGGTAGCAGTAAGACATAGTGGTGGCCACAAAAGAAAAAAATACATAAAATAGAGGAGCAATTGAAACAGGAGATAAAAAATGGGTGCATACTAGCTGAAGGAAGGAAAATGATAAAGAAGCCCATGATGAAGGAAGTGATGTCCTTACTGCATAAGGGGAATCACTGGAGTTCCCAAGCTATGTGTGATGTAATTCTTAGGAATTATTCATGTGTGGGTATTTATACCATTACTAAACAGGTGTATGGAGAATGTTTCACTTGCCAAACAATAAACAAAAAGATAGTAAGGAAACAGATGAAAGGGGAAAGACAACCTAGGTTAAAACCATTTCAGAGCATTCAGGTACACTTCACAGAGATGCCTACGGTGGGATGACAAAAATATCTACGGGTCATAATAGATCACTTCACTAGTTGTGTGGAAGCCTTCCCCCTCTCAACTGCCATGGCAGGGAGCATCATTAAAGTAGTCTAAGAGAAGATTATACATAGGTTCAGTCTTGTGGAAAATACTGACTCAGACAATGGAAGTCACTTTACCTCAAAGGTGTTAAAGGGAATAATGGAGAGTTTGGACCATAATTGGGACTATCATACTTCTTGACATCCAGCTTCCTCAGGAAAGTTGGAAAGAATGACTTAGACCCTTAAGAAACAAATTAACAAACTTATCCTAGAAACCAAACTGCCCTGGACCAAGTGTCTCCCAATAGCTGTCTTTAGGATAAGGACAGCTCCAAGGAAAGATGTGGAACTACTTCCTTATGAAATATTATATGGGCTCCCATACCTGGGCAGGACTGCCGATATTACTACTATGAAGACAAAAGATCACTTTTTAAGAAACTATATATTGCCCATATCTTCTATCCTGTCATCCCTTAAAGTTAAAAGGACACCTTGCCCAGTCCTGCCTCTTGAATTCACAGTTCATCACTTTCAGTTTGGTGACCTAGTACTGATCAAGATTTGGAAGGGTGACAAGCTCCAACCCAGTGAGAAGGCTTCTATCAAGTGCTCTTGACTATTGAGATGGCAGTATGAACAGGTAAAAAAGGGTAAACTCATTACACCCAAGCTAAAAGACTGGTAAAGAAGCCCAGGAAAAAGAAGCTACAGATCAGTGGGAAGTACATGGGTTATTAAAAGAGTTCCTAAAGGTTATTCTAAAGAAAAAAATTGATAGACCCATTCCTTAACTTCAACCAAGGGCTGTTTCTCTCTCTCTAAATTGCTCTGGCTTGGATGGGTTATTATGTAATACATAAACTCTGAATATCCAGTTAAGCTAGTCATTAACGTAATCAAAACCCCCTATACCAAGCTATCACGTTTGATGCTTGACAAGTCTTATCTTTGGAAATTTGGAGTACTAAAAGGCATCTCTCAGGGGAGAATAAACACTTCTGTCTAGAACCTATGTGGAGAAAGAGTGGGGGAGTCATAAGTAACCTCCGTGCTGCTCTATTTGGAGTGAGGTTTGGTGGACAACCCAGTATAAGGGTTGGATTTTTTCTGCCCAAAGGGTTAATTCCAAACTGGCTACCTTACAAGCTAAACTACATTTATCTAAAGGCAGTACACCAAACTATTGCTAAAATTTACAATGTAATTCCATACTTTTGACCATAGACAACCCAACTACTCTAGACCAACAACCTAACATAGCACCACAGGTTTATGGATTAGGAGCAGCTGTCTCAGGAGGGGACCCTCTAGAATGGCTAACCCTCCAATTGGTTATAAATACAATCTATGCCCAGATGGTCCCAGTACAACCCTAGATCCTGATAGGGACTATGATGTGTCAAATAATGACCCCATCTGGGAATTAAAATAGAGAATATTTGAGATAAAAGACTTAAAACAGACTCTGGAGATTAAGACAGGGTCCTGTGATACAAATAACTGGGTTGAATGCGTCAAATTTACTGTACAGGCTATTAACAATAGCAATTGCTATGTGTATGCTGCCAGATGGTCACAGGCTAGGTGGTTCCATTTCCCCTCAGATGGAATACTGATATAGGAGTAATGGATTACATGCTGGCTCTATATCAAGAAAAAGATGCATAGGTAATGTGACCTGTGAGAGTCTGTCTTTTCACTTTCCCATTTTGTAAAGATCAGGCTCTAGAGCAATCCCTTCTTTCTTTATAGGAAATGTGAACTATTGTTCTTGCCTGTCTAGGCAGGGAGCAGAATTCACTAGACCCATGGGAGAACATATACCTACGTCTTAAACATCATCATTAAGTCAAGCATTGGCAAAACTCAGCTCTCCACATATCCCAGGCTGATGTCTGGTGGTATTGTGGGAAAAGAACCTCCATGACATAATACCATCAACTAAGCTGAGACTTGCACCTTAGTTCAATTAGATATTCCATTCCCCTTTGCATTCTACCAGGTACCAAAACAGCAAAAAAGTAATTATCAGGCATGTAGAGCAATAGCAGGGTGTTTTGAATTATATATATATATATTGACTCAATAGTTACCCCAAGGAATTTAAGCTGGCAAACAGCTAGATGCTGGTTTTGAGTCTGCATTTTTCTGGTGGTCTACTATTAATAAAAACATGGAGTGGATTAATTATATTTATTATAGTTCACAGAGGCTTATCAGTTATGCCTGGGATGCTCTTCAGGGGGTGGCTAGCCATTAGATACTACAAGATGAATGGCTTGGGAAAACAGAATAGTGCTGCACATGATTCTGGCAGAGAAAGTGAGACTTTGTGTTATGTTGGGAGGAAAAAAAAAAAATAATAATTTTTTTATTTCCAATAATACAACTCCTGATGGTACAATCACAAAGGTATTCCAGGGCCTAATGACTTTGGCTAATGAGCTGTATGAAAATGTAAGCATTGATAACACTTTCACTTGGATGGTTATAAAGATGGTTCCATCATTGTAACCGGAGTCCTGACAGTTGTTGGGTGTTGTATGATTCCCTGTGTAAGAGGATTAGCACAGAGACTAATAGAGGCAGTAATTAACAGATTACCATAGCCTATCAGTAGAATAGTTTGCTATTATTAGGAACCAAATTAGATACACTCTTCTATGCTGAGGAAAGTCACTAGATTCTAGAACAATTTGAAAAACAGAAAACACAGGAGTGAAAAGAAGGCCAGTAAAAGTAAAAAAGAAAAGAAGGATTTGTTAGAAATAGTGGTGGTCCATTTTCAAGGCAAGGCATTTAACCCTGGCAATTTGCTTGTGTATTGGCTTGCAGATGTCAGGGGAGGGCCAATTGATATGGGAACTTAAACTGGAAGGGATAAATCATGACAGAATGAGGAAATGGATAAAAACTGTGTGTGTTCCAGAAAGCACATATCACAGGGACACCTTCTCGCCATAAAGGAAATATACCATCTAAAGCCTGCTCTAGAATTTGACCAATTCCAAGAGAGAGCTATTTCAAATAACTCAACAAGAAATGTAGTTGATGTGGGGAGGGTGAGGAAGAATGCGGCACCTACAGTACTCAGACAATGAGGAACCAGGGGAGAGACTTGCACACTACATAATGTAAGCACTTCCTGTGTCTCTACTAATCGTGCAATCTATCTGTGAAGATCACCATTAGAGTGTCACTTCCACTCTACTCCATGTGTCTCTGAGTTCATTCTTTATGTTTGGATAGGCGAGCATATTTCTCACACTAATCTAAAATGAATTCTTGTAATAATTGCACAATTGGAATATATTATGAAACATTGCATTATAAACACTAAACTGGTGAATTATGTGATATGTGTTATATATAATCATTTAAAAATAAATTATGACATTCACAATATGCTGATTTTTCTGTATTATAGTTTGATCTTTAGCACTATGCAAATGAGACTGCAGACCCAAGAGCCTCTTGAGGCCAATTTCGTCAACGACACTATAAAATGTGATTTTTTTAAGACAGGTGAATTTAACACTAAGAGTATTTAATTTTATATGGGTAAGAACACATAAAAATTAATGAGTCACACAAGATTTTATGACTCTGAGTTCACTTACCTTGTATTCATTAATCTAAGATTGATAAGATTAAACTTTTATTATTTATTAACTTTCAAGTAGAGGTGTTATACTTTAACTTATTGATTGATTTATCCTCTATTACAAGAATGAAATTTCAGAGAGAAACAGCCAAAGTAAAAGAAACATTACATTGGACTAAGATGTCTATGAAATGGACTTCAGTTCTTCTTCTGATACAGCTGACATGTTACTTTACCTCTGGAAGTTGTGGAAAGGTGGTGGTGTTGCCCATGGATTATAGTCATTGGATGAATATAAAGACAATCCTTGATGAACTTGTGCAGAGAGGACATGAAGTGACTGTCTTGACATCATCAACTTCCATTCTTGTTGATCCCAGTAAATCATCTACTATCAAATTTGAAGTTTGCCCTTCATCTTTGAATAAAACTATTTTGGAAGATCTTTTAAAAATGTTAACCGATAAATTTATATATGATTTTTCAAAATATTCATTTTGGACATATTATTCACAGCTACAAAAATTCTTCAAGGATTATTCTGATGTCATGGAAACATCCTGCAGAGACATGGTTTTGAACAAGGAACTTATGACAAAACTAAAGGAGTCAAGGTTTGATGTCCTTCTTGCAGATGCCGTGGTTCCCTGTGGTGAGCTGCTTGCTGAGCTACTGAACATCCCTTTTGTGTACACTCTCCGCGGCCTTCCTGGCAACACACATGAGAAGTACAGTGGGGGTGTCCCATTCCCTCCTTCCTATGTGCCTGTTATTATGTCCGAACTAACTGATCGAATGACATTTATGGAGAGGGTAAAAAATATGCTGTACGTTCTGTACTTTGATTTTTGGTTCCAAACATTTGATGAGAAAAAGTGGAATCAATTTTATAGTGAAGTTCTAGGTAAGCTATGTGTTTTTATCACTGTGAAATCCAAACTTCCTTTCCCTTTGAAGGACAGTTTATGAGGATATAAAATTAGAAGATGAAATGAAAATATAAAATGATCATTTAATCTCAGAAGTACTGTGGGAATGCTTATATTGTGGAGATATGTAAAACCCCATGGTCATCATTTGTTCAGATCACTCTAGGAAATTATAACTTTGAAAACTGAACAACTGAATTTTTGCCAGTGAACTTATACATGCCTTTTACTATACTTTTCATATGTCTTAAAACCAGTAATTATGACTCTCAGCAAGTGACTTAATGATCATAGCTGTGTACATTAAGTATTTACACATGATTAATTAACATAAATCTATGTGGCATTAGGGAAATTATTTCCCCTTGTATAGCTCAGATTACTCACTTAGAAATTAAAATATTTACCTATAATAACATAAGATATCATTCACAACTTAATAAATATTGTGTCTATTCCTAATGCAGATAGCTGTAATTTCAACATTTTAAAAACATTTTTTTAATTCAAAACACAATAAATATATTACGGACAGTTTTCCAACTCATTTCAGGAAGTCACATGCTATATTACATATACAATTTCATCATTATCCTGTCTTGCACATTCTTTTCTTGATTCAGGAAGACCCACTACATTATTTGAGACAATGGGGAAAGCTGATATATGGCTTATTCGAACGTACTGGGATTTGGAATTCCCTCGCCCACTCTTACCAAATTTTGTCTTTGTTGGAGGACTCCAGTGCAAGCCTGCCAAACCCCTGCCTAAGGTATATCTATTTTTGTTGCTGTGATTGGTTTGTTCTGCAGTTTGGTTAAAATGACTGTACATTCCTCATTCATGGTGTCTGAGTTGTGAGAGAGATATTCACCAGGGATGGTAAGGAAAGATCAGCAGAGATCACAGAATACATTCTAAAATCCTTGATTAACTATGATGAGATATGTACAATGTACAAAAACAGGTAAAGGGATAAGATGAAATGAAAGACACTGAAAAAACTAAATTAAATAGATAAATAAAATAAATGATACAGAGAGAAACATAAAGCTAGTTCTCAAGAGCTTCAAATTTTCTTTAGCAGCATGAAGATGAATTCGAGGCAAATGATGCTGGAGAAGTAAGTTGGAGTGATATAATTATTAGAAACTTGGAACACTTATTGACAGTGCTAAATTAAATGTCTTAAGCATGGGAGACAAGATTTTCTTTTTAAAGAGTATTTCAAAATACCATCACCCTGTTGGATTGCAACAGGACAAATATGTAAAGGGAATTATTTAGGAAACTGTTGTAAGAATTGAACCAGCAGATGATAGAAAATAGATTAGAAGATTCATAGAGATGACTATATTAACTCATATGTTAATAGTCCAATCTCATGTTGTGTTATGTGGAAAAAACTTGTTAATGCAGACAAAAAACTTAAAATGTTCTTCATGCTTAGTGATTCAGATACATTGACTGGTATAATATTCAAGTTTTTGTTTCTATCACATACTATTTTTTATGAACCACTAAATTTTATCATCTAAAGACCCTAACTACACATTAAAATGGTAATGGTAGGATAAATAGTTACAATGGCTATTTTTAAAATGATACATTTTGTCATTTGCTAAACATTGCTACTGCAAGAATTTAAATTATGTTCAACTTTGTAACTAGAAAGACACAATGTGGCTGGAGCAAACAACCATCTATTTTTTCTGCTGACATAGCAAGTTCAAGGCTAGTATAGCAACTCTTCTATAACAAATAATATTAATTTGCCAATTTGAGCCAAACAATTAAGCTATAATGTCACATTTAATTAGAACTGGCTTTCCAACAGAATGATGCTGTAGTCTCTAGAAAAGTTCTACATAACTGATATTCTGCAGATTAATTAAATGTAAATGTCAGAGTTTGCCAATCAAATGAGCAAGAGGAAACACTAACATTTTATTTTTGTGTTTTACAAGCTTTCTAGATTAACAATGATACCATTTCTCAGCAATGTGAACTGTGTTTCTCCACAATATTTGATGCCAAACTCAACAATTTCTTGCTTTTGCTCCAGTATTTAAGTCATTATTCACTAGAGATCCAGATCATTATGTATAGAGCATGACTGATTGTTTACCCTAGCAGAGTGGTGATTCTTCCATGTACCAATCCTATAGCACACCTCAGAGCTACTCCCTACAGTCACATGCAGCTAGCTGAGTACCTCAGAGGTAGAGCACTTGCCTAGCAAGCATGAGGCTCTGAGTTTACACCCCAGTACTGTAAAAAAAGAAAGTAAAAGAAAACAAATTCTCTCTTGGGTTTTGGCATCAGAGTTTCCCAACAGAATGAGTACAGAGAAACTCCATAGGGCATATAAAATACAGACATATTGGATCATATCACTTGTTTTTGAAAATAAACCATTGATTTTACAAGTAAGAATTGTCAGCAAATAGCATTGTACTTCATAAGAAGGAAGATAAGAATCTAGAATATTTTAAATTAACATCTTTTTAAAAGAAATAGTAGAAAACAAGATTTTTTTCAGTGGGATTTGTGTTCAAACTCAGGGCTTCACACTTGCACTGCAGCAGCTCTACTGTGTTAGCCATACCTCCAGTCCATTTCTGCTCTGGTTATTTTGGAGGTGCTGTTTCAGGAACAATTTGCTAGACTGATCTCAAATCATGATCCGCCTGATTTCAGCCTTCCAATTAGCTAGGATTACAGGTATGAGCTTCAGCATCCAGCAGAATGCAATTTTTTAAGTATAATTCTTATTGTAATTATTAAAATATATCAATGTACAACTTTATGTGCTTCACTGTAACATTTGCTTACACACAAATATCATGCTTGGATCATGTCCATCCTCCCTTCTCTTTTCTATTGCTATGCCCTTTCTCCACACTCCCTCTAGTGCCCTTCCCCTTCAGGTTTTTATGTTGTTGCTGTTTTTAGTTTCTACATATGCGAGAAAACATGTAATACTTGTCTTTCTTTGTGTGGACAATTTCACATAACATGATGTCCTCGACTTCCAGTAATTTTACTGCAAATGATGTCATGTCATTCTTCTTTATGGCTGAATAATATTCCATTGTTTACATACACCATATTTTCTTTATCCATTCATCTAGAGATGGGTATCTAGACTGATACCTATAGTTTGGATATTGTGAATATTGATGCAATAAATGTAGATATGCAGGTATTGCTATTTTATTCTGACTTATATTTCTTTGAGTTATAGTCCTAGGAGTCATATACTCGATAATACTTTTATTTTTAGTTTTTTGAAAAATCTTCATACTCTTTTCATAATGATGCTTTTCATATTGCAAGAATAGTTTATAAGAGTTCCTGGTTTCATGTATCTTGGGAGTATTTGTTATTAATTGTTTTTTGAATAAGAGCTATCAAAATCAAAGAGAAATGGAATCTCAATGTAGTTTTCATTTGCATTTCCCTGACAGATAAATATAATTAAAATTTTTCATATATTTATTGGCCATTTGTTTTTATTATTTTGAAAAGTGTACCCAATCAGATCATTTTCCTATGTTTGAAGATTTCTACGTAGATGGGATGACAGATACATGCACCATGCCAGACAGGTTTTATTGAGATGGGGTCTGAACTGTAATTATTCTGATCTCTGACTCTTAAGTAGTTGGGATTATAGTCACAAATCATTAAACCTTTTATGATCTTTGTACAGAAGGAAAGCTAACAACCTAGTTTTACTATTTGTATGTAGATATTCAATTTATCCAGTACCATTTGTTGAAAGAGCGGTCTAGTTTTCAACTACAATATATAGTTTTGGCACTTTGTCAAGAATCAGTTGACAATAGCCAAGTATGGTAGGGTATGTCTGTAATCCCAGCTACTTGGGAGACAGAGGTATGATTTCAAGGTATGATTTTAAGGTAAGCCCACTCAAGTTAAGTGCGACCCTACCTATCTCAAAAACAAACTATAATTAAAAGGCCTGGGAACCTGACTTAGAAAGTGTAAGGTCCTGGTTTCAATCCCCAGTATAACAAACAAACTAAGAAAAATCAATTGACAATAATTGTGTGAATTACTTAAGGTTCTCTATCTTAGTTCTTGATCTATGTGTTTGTTTTTATGACAATATAATGTTTTTTGCTACTCTTGCTCTGTAGTATAGTTTGCAGTCAGGTATTATTATGCCTATGGCATTGGTCTTTTGCTCAGGATTTCTCTGGCTGATTCAGGGTTATTTGGTTCCATATGAATTTTAAGTCTTTTTTTATTGATAAATAAAGAATGCCATTAGTATTTTATGGCTATTGCACTGAATATTTAAATTGCTTGAATGAAATACTATGTACATATCTTTCAAGTCCATTTATTCTAAAGTTTAATTAAACTCTGTTCTTTGATTTTTTTCTTCTGTCTGATGGTCTCTCTGTTCATGTAAATGGAACATTAAGGATACTCATTATTATTATATCAGGGCATATTTCTCCATTTATATCCATTAATGCATATTTCATAAAATTGCTTCATCATTTTATATATATATATAATATATATATAATTTCTCTATGGATATTTTCCTTGTAGTGATGATGTTATTATTCACTTCAGGATGATTTTGGTTCAAGTATATTTTTGCAAGGATGAGTACATGTACTCCTGATTCTCTTTGGATTCCTTACTTGGAATATCAGTTTCCATCATTTCACTTTCAGTATGTTTATGTTTTTGCCAGTGAGGTGAGTTTTTCATGGCAACAAATTGTTGGGTCTTGCTTTTTTAATCCAATTTTCAGACTATATCATTTAATTGTAAAATTAAGACCATATATATTCAAGATTATTATCAAAAGGCATACATTAGATCCCATCAATTAGTTATTTTTCTTCTGGCTTTTTTGTCTTTCTCCTTTATTCATCTGATAGGTTTGATGGCTTAGTAAATTAATAATATTTGATTTTTTAACATTCTCAATTGCTCATCTACTCTTATACTGAGATGTCTTTTTTGGGATATTTGTATTCTATTTATTGTGATTCCCCTTTGGAGTATGTTTCCTTTATGTACCTTCTGTAATGCTTGTTAATAGTATGATTCCTTTAGTATATAATTATCTTGGAAGGTCTTTAGTTTTCCTTTGATTCTGGTTGATTAATTTGCTGAAAGTAATCTGTATTGGTAGCTATTTTCTTAAAATATGGAACACCCAGGCACTGTCAATAATCCCGGCTTTTTGGGAGGTAGAGGTCAGAAGAATTGTGGTTCTAGACCAGCCTGGGGAAAAAGTTTCTGAGAGAGTATTTCAACAAATAGCCAAACAATGGTACATACTTGTCAATTCAAGATCTGTGGGAGGCTGCAGTCAAGAGGACTGTGGTTCCAGGATAGCCCAGGCAAAAAACAAACAAAGAAAAAAACCAAAAAATAAAAACTAATGAGATTTCCATCTCAATGAAAAAAGCTGAATATGGTGGTATGTATCTGTCACCCTAGCAACTAGGGAAGCTTAAAAGAGGATGAGCACAGTTCAAGCTGGCCTGGGCAAAAAGCAAGACCCTGTCACCAAAGGAATAAGGATTGGAGCCAGCATGGCTCAAGTTGTTTGAGTTCCTACTTAGGAAGACAGAAGCCCTGAATTCAAACCTCAGTACCATCCATATATATATATGTAGCTTTCTGTATATATGCAGAAAGCTAGAGACAGTGAGAAAGCTAGAGACAGAGAACATGATTGTGTATGTCTTTTTGAGGGGACTAAGGGGAGGTGGGAGAGGGAAAGAATGTTATCAAGTGAAAATATGAATGTATATGTATACATATATATTTATACACATATATGTGTGTGTATATATATAAAATATATAAAATTTATTAAATATATATATACATATAAAACCAATGCTTTATGGTAGTTACATTAAGAACTTACTTAACTTATAGTATTTACAAACCACTCCATTGCAATGATTGTACTAAAGAATTTTTAAGCACATAAGCCATAGAATGAGTTTAGTTGGAAGCTGGTTGGTAAAATAACAAATATCAAAATATCACTATATTTATAGGAAATAAAGTAATATCCAGTAACATTACAATTTTCTAATTATTGTACAAATGCACATTTAGTATATGCATAGAATAAAGACTGTAATGATACAAATAGATTTTTAACCAAAGAAATCTCTGTGTGGAAATTGTTTGAAAATAATATCCTATTTTATACTTATTAACACTTTTCAGAGATTTCTTATCATGAGCTGTTTTTTAATTTACAAAAGATTACAGTAAGCCAATGACAAGTCCTATTTACAAAAGAATGCTATAGAAAGGAAATGACTTGCAAATTCTACTGACCAATATGTAAACAGAGGTCATAAAATAAAACAGTAGTTGACAGAAAGCTTATATACCACACGGATGAAAGATACTTTGCACAAGAAGACAATACATAGAATACAATGGATATTATATGCTGCTTTATTTTCCTGAAATCACACAGTATGCCTAGATGTATATAAGATTCCTAGAATAGTAATAGTGCAATAGTTGTTATATCAAGACAGTTTCTATTGACTAAAAATTATGTGCTTGAATGTCCTTCTTAAAAGTTATTTTATGCTAATGATTAGGATTACAAAGTACACCTTTCATATTGTATGAATTTGATCATTATTTAACACATAGAATGCAAATAGTAAACTTAAATAGGGAAAAAATTACTTTTATAAATTTTTTGTCTCTTCTACCATTGTTTTCTGGGTAGGTAAGTACATTGAGAAATGTAGAATCATTCTTGTTTATAAGGACTTGAACTTTTAAACTTGGCCTAGTATACAACTCGCAATTCAAAACAATTCTCAAATACTCTACCTCCCCCAGATATACCAGTTTGCCTCCAGATAAATATCTGGGGCACCTATCTTACTGAGGAGCAAAAGCTGTGTTGGGGATACAGGGAGGTGATAATGAATGAGTGTCTCTCATGTCAGTATATACAGAACTCATTCAACTGGAATATCAATTTTATAGCCTAAAACCAGGGAAAAATGCATCACAGGTAAATAAGCCCAGATATGCGTTCACACAAATCTGGATAGTTCCAATGAAGTGAAAATGTTAACATGGGCCATGTGCAGTTCTAATGAGGACATATATAGTTCTGGATACGAATAGAACTTTTATGAGTATTTTATGTATACCCAAGTCACATTTCCAATTTTCTAAATGTCCATTATTCTTAACCTCCAGGTATTGGGGATAGTATAATAGAAAACTTTGAGAAACTCTCAGAAAAGATAGGATAGGAATAAATACTCTAGAGATAAGAAAATACAGATTTAAAACCAAATAAACCACTTTTCCTGAGTGCTCATACTGAGGCAAGGAAAAAACTGAAAATAAACTGAAATGATTCTCCAGATATCCCAATAAGATTAATCCACCATAGCAGTGCAATTGTAAGGATTATAAGTAAAGCAAAATTACAAACTAGCTTTAATACCTACCTCAGAGAAAATAGATTAAATTTTAGTACAACTATAAACTAAGGGTTAGGTAGAACAATTTCTAAGATTATCTATCACAGTCATTGTCTGGCAGCCCAACTTCTTTTCTTCCTGCTACAGGCACATAAACAAACACATACATTTACGGAAATATACCTGAAAGAGGCCATTTATGTCATATTACATATTTCTTTACAAAGGTAAAGATGAACACTATCCAATAATTACTGGTAATACTTGATTTTTCTTTCCTTAGATTTAATAATACTTTCAAAAGTGTTTGCTGTGTTGTAAGTTGTTGCTCTTTTGTGATGGATCTAATTATTTCTTCACAGGAAATGGAGGACTTTGTTCAGAGCTCTGGGGAAAATGGTGTTATAGTGTTTTCTCTAGGATCAATGGTCAGTAACATGACAGAAGAAAGAGCCAATGTGATTGCATCAGTGCTTGCAAAGATTCCACAAAAGGTTAGAAAAAGTGCCTGTTTGGTAGACACTAACATAATAAGTTTGCTAAACTCTGAAAAGGAATTGAGTACAAAAGCTTTATGTGCTAAAAATAAATTGTTGGGCTGGACATGGCTCAAGTGGTAGATCACCTTCCTAGGTAAGCACAAGCCCTAAGTTCAAACCCCAGGAGTACCAAAAAAGTAAATTGTCATATCTTAAATTCATCTAAAAATCATAAAATAAAAATAAATACCACAGATAGTTAAATAGTATAAAGGATGTTTTTATCAAAAATAATTTTGGCATTATCATTGTGAACTGAAAATTTGTACTTCACAGCTGAAGTGAAAATTTGGTACAAGAATGGACCTGCAGGCAGATACACAGCAGTCACCAAATCTGCACTATTATGTCTTCCTTTTCTATACAGAATCCTGAGAGCACTGTGCATATTATAGATGTTATCAGAAAGCAATCAAGTGTTTGTTAGTAATTGGACCAGCAATCATGTTAAGCAGGTATTGAAAGGAGGCTGAATTTCATCATGCAGTTTTACTGTCCAATATAAGTCCAGCTCCTTCACTCCTCATATGAAAATAGCTTAATTCAGCTAAGTGTTCATAGGGCTATTCAGAGAAAAGTAGGCCAGAATTCATCAGCCTTTAGTTAATAGCTGTCTTGCAAAGGACATTTAGAGAAGTAAAAAACAGTTTCCCTGGTAAACAGAATGTGCTCAGTGTCTGAAACATAGAAATATAAAAGAAAGTGTAAAGTTTGGACCTGACTGTAAAATGGACACTGTGCATTAAAGTATATCCCCAAGAGCTGGGCTTCTAACAAATCAAACTATATCTGCTTCTGGTTGAAGAAAGAGAAGGGAAAGCCAAGACCACAGAGGAAGCAAACCTTGTATAGAAAGAAATTCAGAACCCCCCAACTCAACGAAGTGTATTAATAATTTCTTGTTATTAATGTATAGAATACACTTGAGTATACTTGTGATATGTGCATGGTTTTAACTAATTTTTAGTTTCCTATCTGATACACTTTTCTCCCAATAAGTTAAAGTAATTGTTTTCTGAAAACAAAAAGTTGGTTTATCAAGAATATGGAAAATAACTCTTTCAAATAATAATCCAGATTTTAAGAACTGCTTGCCAATCTGAAATTCATTTCCTTAGTTTTGAGGAAGGGATGAAAATGATCTTGAGCTATAAGACACTTTCTTAATAACTGCTCTCAAGAACTTGTAGTCTTCAAGGCATCAATACCATCAAGATGTTAACACAGAGTTCAACAAAATTCACTAACATCGCAATTTTGAAGGCTTCTTTCTCAACAGCCATATTGTTATTCTTTTAAATAATAAAGAATTTCCAGATCTACCTAAACTAACAAATTCTGCCTTAAAGTCAAAATTGCCAGTTCATAATATGGGGAGCAGTGCTTGACAGTTGCATGTACCTTCACGTTGGAATAATTTATTTCTCACAAACAGCTGACTATGTCACTTCTTTCTTTTATATATCAATAGAAAGCTAATTAAAATTAATAATTTAAGGTATGAGTGGACAGAAGAAAATTCCTTTCCATATCATTCAAAAAGAAATAACAAGTATTATCAACTTTAAAAAATGAGATCTAGAATAAAATACACAAAACAAAATAAATACATAGCCATATTTAGGTACATCTTTCCAAACTATAATCATTTTAATTTAAATTTTAATCATTTAAGTTTTCATAAATCATTGAATTTATCAATTATCAGGCCATTTTTCTGAGTTAATGTATACGAATATCAGGGCTATATTATGCTCTATTGATTACAAAGGCAAGTACAAGCAGTGTAAATATTCTTTGTCCTTCCATCCTTTAGTAAGAAATTAAAATCTCTTAATTTCCTTATCTGTCGTATGGAAGTTTAACTAATCTTTTAAATTTTGTGTGAGTCAAACCTAATATAACTTGAAATTTCAGTCAAAGAATAAGATACTTACTATATCAACAGGTACTATGGCGATATGATGGCAAGAAACCAGACACCTTAGGATCCAATACTCGGATATACGAGTGGATCCCCCAGAATGACCTTCTTGGTAAGACTCTGGAAAATAAAGCGAGAACATGAGAAACACCCAACCACTCAGAAAAGTGACAGCTTGACAAGAAACAAGATGAGTATTTACTATTTCAAAAATAAGAAATAACACTAACTTCTTCATATTTTTAAGATTAAAGAAGTGAAAAAACTTTAATTATTGTTATGTTGATGTTCACAATCATATACTCTATGGCAGGATCAAAGTATTTTTAGTTCAGGTGTAATTGTCTCTCTGAGAATTCTTGTGGCACTGCCTGCATTGTCTCAGAGTATCATTCCTCCTGCTGCAGGAGAATTTCCAGTGCCACTGAAAATAACATGCTGTCTTCTGTTACCATGGTGTCTACATTTTACATTAAAATAAGCCCACAAACTTTATCATGAGGTGGTAACGCATTTCATGATGAAGCATGGCTTGTGTTTTCTCTAATACATACACAAGCACACTTCCTGCTGCCTTGAACACAGGTCATCACAAAATCAATGACTTCACTATCTCTTTAAGAGAAAATATTCCAAAAGGTCCCTCAGAGTCTTTTAAATTAGGACACACTGCAAAGTTATAATAACTGTTGTAATTTTTCTTCTCTTACAATATTGCTCCATTTTTCAATTCTCAAGTCACATACAACCTCTTCTATGTAGCATTCACTTAATTCTCCAGTGGACTTTAATGTTTCTTGTACTAAACTTTAAAACAATTTCAATGAAGTGTCATAACTATAATAAGCTATTGTATACAGATCAATGCCACTTAGACCTTTTAAAGCCTTATACATCACCTTTTTCATTTCATTCTTAAAATGTATAATTAATAATTTTTGAAAATTCACCCAATTGTAGGTCATCCAAAAACCAAAGCCTTCATAACTCATGGTGGAGCCAATGGCATTTATGAGGCAATCCATCATGGGATCCCTATGGTGGGCATTCCTTTGTTTGGGGATCAACCTGACAATATTGTTCGTATGAAGTCCAAGGGAGCAGCTGTTAGACTGGACTTCAACACAATGTCAAGTACAGATCTTCTAAATGCCTTGGAGACAGTCATTAATGACCCTTCGTGAGTATAACTGCATTCTCTTCTTTTTGAGGAGTTTGGAGTTTTGCTAGGTTTTCTAAGATGTATTTGCAGCAAAGAATGAAGAAAAATACTGGGAAAACAAATCAGATCACAATATTTGGATGACAATGTGAGTTCCATTAGAGTAAAGAGAGTATGATGAATATATAAAGACTAACAGAGAGTATTTGATTTACCAAAACTTAGTTAGGCTTTTAGGTTTTTTTGTTGTTGTTTGTACTGGTCCTTGCCTACAGATTCCAGGTTACCATTGCTATATTCAGAGTCGAGCACAGTGTTTACCTCCAACACAACAAAATTCCATCACAATGAATCTTATTATTAATCACAGTGGTCCTAATAAAGTCTTTCTTGAAATGCTTTTACAACTCTTTACAGAGATCACACCAATGGAATCTGTGATACAACATTATAATTATTTCCAATGTATAGAATTGATGTACTAATACTGTCAAGAAAAGAACCTCTGTCCATTCACATTTAAGTTAACTTTTCAAAAATGAGGTAAAAATAAGATTTATAGTGTATCATAAATAATGTTCAAGTAAGGGAAGAGAGAACATGAAAGTTGTTATAAAGGTGCCAAAAGAACACCATTGTGACTTCAGTGTACAGCTACAGCACAAATGTAATGAGGCAAATGTGCAGTGATCATTGAAAATGTTGCCAGGTCTGACCACTTAGAATCACTGAGTCCAAGAACAGAATATTACCTTTTTCCAATTCTCCTGAGTAGTAGATGGATATTTTAAGGAAAGTATATCTTAATTTGACTAGTTCTGTTAAATAATCATTGGGGCTACTAGGTGGAAAATAAAAATAGAGGGCAGAAGACAATAGTGGAAACTAAGAGACAGGTAAGGTGGCATTTCACCCACCATGACATTACTCTTTAAAAGCCTCCAGAAAACCATCCTCAAATTGCATCTCTACTGTTTCAATCATAGGACTTTAAATCACTCACTCCAATGAAAAACATCAAATTTTCCTTCTTGATACTATATTCCACTTTGGAAATATTTTTCAATCAGAATATCCTATTAAAAACCAATGACTGTAAACAGGAAAAAAAAAGCAAAATTATAGCACTTATACTTGATATTTATTTTGAATCATTTGTAAATCAGAAACTTTCAATAACTTAACATGCATAGGAAAACTAACTTTCCCTTTGATGTTGGTATCTTTCTGCTTCTCCTTCAGCTATAAAGAGAATGCTATGAGGTTATCAAGAATTCACCACGATCAGCCAGTGAAGCCTCTGGATCAAGCCGTCTTCTGGATCGAGTTTGTCATGCGCCACAAAGGAGCCAAGCATCTTCGTCCAGCTGTCCACGACCTCACCTGGTTCCAGTACCACTCTCTGGATGTGATTGGGTTCCTGCTGGCTTGCGTGGCAACTGTTACATTTACCATTACAAGATGTTGTATGTTTTGTTGCTGGAAGTTTATTAAAACTGGAAAAAAGAAGAAAGGAGACTAGTTGTATCTGATCCTGAAGGGAGAATCCTGTTGATTCCAATAAGAAAAGGTTGTGATGTGAGATTTCCTTCTTCTATGACAAAACTCCTCACGGATTACTTTGTCAAGTCAAATTATATTTTCCTAGGAATCACTACATGTTGAAAACCTGAAATATTTATGGACACAAGAAAAATTTCGGGGTAAAGGAAAAATAAATCTGTATTTTTAAATATCAACTTGACAGTCATAAGATATACCTCAAAACATTGACTGTGCTTAACTGATGTTCACTAGTTTTACTTGGACACAAGATCACTGAGCAGTCCACTCCGTTTCGATAGGTTTTGCAAATACTCAATCAACCTTAAGGGGTTTTATTGTATAGAATTTTGTAGGTTTTACTATTTCTAAAGTATTCGGCCATTAGAAATTAATGTTAACCACTTGCTTTCTACTATAAAATTAAACTAAGAATCTCTGGATTGATGAGCTCATTGATTCTCCTGCTATGTCTATACTGACCTGAATGCTCTTAATATCTTTTCACCTTTAAGAATTGACATAAAATCTCAATTATTCAGTTTTCCATGTCACCAAGTGTACATGTTCAGATCCAATCTCACTTTTTTCATAATAAGACACAGCACCAATAGCTCTCTACAGATACCTTGCAAAATTAAGTGAGTTTGGGGAGCATTCTACATCCTACTTTACAAAATCAAGTCTAATCTTTCTCTTTCTGTGGTAGTCTGCTGCCCTAATGTTCTCTTAAAACTATCAGAGAAAAATTAAATCATTCATCATTTCTGAAAATATCATAGTAATAATTCTCCTTGAAGATTAGTTACATTATGACTAACCATAATTAGTAACAATGCAATATTTTAAACAATATACATAAATTATATGAAAAAAAGGTAAATCAAAGCACAAATACTACAAAGCCTCCTTTTAAGGTACACATCAGGGAGTACTTCACAATTCACATCATGAACATTGAAGAATATCTAGTTGTCTGTATTGATATGAAGAAAGACCATCATTGAAGTTTTCCAGAAATAATCCTCCATCCAAAATCATGAATTTATTTAAAAAATAAGTTAAAACTTATTTCAGAAAGCTAGATAACTATAGCAATGTGTACAGAATATTTTATGCAACTTATATAATAATTAATACATTTGTAAAGAAAATAAAACCAATAACATATATTGTAGTTAGTATTGCAAAAGCAACTTCATGTGTCTTTATTAAATTTCATTAAAATGATTGTACTATTGTACAGTACTACAATACAAAATATTGGTATTATTGCATATTGGATAATACTATGAAGCATCAATCAAAAATATAAACAATGGTAATGAGAAAGGATGAAAACAACAAACTGGCAATTGACACAGAAATAACCAATACTACAAACTATAACAAAAAATCACTGATATTTAAATAGTAAAAAGTAAGGCAAAACTTGTTTTCCCATAGATTTTATCTATGTGAATCTGAATAAACTACTTTTGAGGTAATATAAATTGGAATGAATCTTTTAAAGAAAATTATAACATTCTGTTTGATTCAGTCAATCTACACATTAGGAATCTGTCCTGCATAATTTCATATGGACATGTTTGTGTGTAGGATGTTCTCTCTAGAACTTCAATGGCTACAGTGAACACACCTCACAGAAAATTACAATACATGGCCATTACAGAGAATGGGCAATTGCAGGAAATATTGCTGAACGTTTTCCTTGTCATGTTGTTAAATAAAAAGTTTCAGGATAATGGAAAATATGATTTTTTGAAAAAATTAAGTGTGTGTGAACGTCTATAAACACATAGGGAAAAGTGTGAATAATGCACAGTTTTCCAAAGAAAGAATCCTACTTGATAATATTTGTACTTCTGCAACCAGTGAAACACAGTGCTGTTTCATGAAAAAGTGATTTAAAAATTAGATTTAAAAAACTTTTCTTTTATAGAGGTACTGGGTTTGAACTCAGGGCCTTGTGCTTGCTGGATAGGCAATCTGTTACTTGAGCCACAAGCCAAGATCTTTAACTTTAGCTATTTTTCAAATAGGTGTAGTGCTTGAAAAAAACTTGGACCACAAGACTCCTGCCCTCCCATGTAGGTGGTATTATAAGTGTTATCTACCATGCCCATCTAATTTGTTGAGATGGGATTCTCCTTAACACCTTTTATTTATTTATTTTTTCATTTTTCTTTTATTATTCATATGTGCATACACATACACTGCCCCCACCCCCTCCCTTACCACCCACTCCGCCCCTCCCTC